AAAGTAACTTACTTTTTTCTGAACTTTCTCTTTCCGTAGGAAATACCTACGACAGATCAATTGTAGTGGACGGGGAAGAAGCGTCTCTCGTGGTGTTTGATATATGGGAGCAGGTACTTACAGATTTGAGATTTTTTTTTTTTTTTTTTAGTGGCTTGGTCAGCGGTTCACTCTTTTAAAAAAAGCAGAAACACAACAACTATGCCTGCCTATTTCTTTGATCGGATCAGTAACGTTAACAAAGTGACATTAAAAAATAGAATTCACGCTGCCTTTGCTCTCTCCTGCAATTAATTTCCTGTAGCTAGGCAGGCAGTTTAAAAACCTGAATAGGGCTGGAGAGGGAATCCCTTAATGCTTTGAATAAGCAGCAGCTTACATGAGCAGCCCAGGGAATTACTGTAAAATTAGAGATTCACAATCTGATCAGTGCAGACCTGATATTATTTCTGGAAACAAGAGAACTTGGTTTTGTGATATATTTTAAATAACAAAATCTATATAAAGGAAATAATGGGTGTTTAGCTTACTTTTATTATAAAAGCTGAGAAAAATATCCTTAAGATGCTTACAATAATTAAATCATTAATCAGCATTGAATAGACTTTCCAGTGCAATAAATCTGTTTTTTCCCTTTTGTTTTAGGATGACAGCCAATGGCTTCAGAACCACTGTATGAAAATGGGAGATGCCTATATTATTGTATACTCAGTGACCGACAAAGTTAGTTTTGAAAAAGCTTCTGAGCTAAGAATCCAGCTAAGAAGAGCAAGGCAAACGGAAGACATTCCTATTATTCTTGTGGGCAATAAAAGCGACCTGGTCAGGTCCCGGGAAGTCTCAGTTGATGGTAAGAGACACTGTTCATTTACACAGTAATGTCTAATTAGCAGCAAAGGCTATGGAGGATCACAGCTGAGAGAAATGGTCCAGTTTTGATGTAGAAAAATGTATGATTCTGAGGCACGCTGGAGAAACGGAGCTGTTTCATGCTGAGGGACTTGGTACCACAGGAAACAGTGGAGATGGTGGCGGGGGAAGATTTGTGACTGTGCAGAGCAATGCTCTGAACTGCAGTGCAAGAGAAAAGAAATGCGTCAGACCCGCAGCTTTAGCATACTGTTTGTGTACGATTCATTTTTTGGTCGGTGTTAACAGAAAGGGTTTAATTGTATGTTATGTGTGCAGCAGCACTCGCCAGTCTCAAGATCTGGTAGCTCGAGCTATGCTTTTTAAGGGAAAGGAAGGCCATATCATAGAACCCAGGCAGCCTTTGGAAAGGGTGATCTCGTACAGCCTGCACTATTCTCTTTCTTCTGGAAGTGATTCCGTCATGTTTGGGTGGAGCTGGTGGGGCCAGGCTCACAACTTGAAGTCTTTTTATATGTGTTCTCCAGTCGTGATCAGTGAGAATTTTCTCAGCTAGTTCCAGCTAGCATTTCCGTAACTAGAGCACAGTAATCACTGCCAACACCACAGTATTAATTTCACTTATTTAAACATTTGGTGGTTTTGTTTTTTTGTTTCACTGGGAAGAATACTCTGAAATAGCGGTGCCTTGTGATGATGAACCATCTCTTGCTGTCTGTTTTTGCCATGTTCCCTGTGTTAAATGCCTGCACAGGGAACTGACTGGAGTTCATCAGGAGATTACTACTTTTTTTCAGGCTGGTGGCAGTGCATGGTTGACCTGTCCTAGTCACGACATCAGTACTTTGCTCAGGTTTACAACTTTGCCAAGTAGAACATGGAAATTTGCACCGCAGCAATGTTCCAGAGTTACGTGCTTATGTCTGGGCCATTGAGCGTCTTGCATTTTGAACGCAGTCCTAGTCAAACCCAATGGTGTACAACTTCATGACCTCTAGCGATCTGTTCAATGACTTGACCTTGGGGACTGTATCAGCTTCATTTGTAGCTAGTGTGGAAAACTCACTTGTTATTACAGCAAGGTAGAGGTACAGAATTGCTCAACAACTTCCAGAAGAAATAAAAACCATTTCTTTCTGTACCTCACGCTGTTTCCTATCAAACAGCAAGCATGTATCCAAGTGCCTCTCCTCTATCAGCTTTAGCTCTTAAACAATACTGGGATGGTCTGCCTAGAGGACTATTGTTGCCTTATATTCAGTAGCATTGGTCTAATGAGAACTCTGACCATACCACAAAAAAGCCAAGAAGAGTAAGGGGGCAAAACCATGAGTGCAAATTTGGACTTTCCTACCACGTAGTAAAGCACTTGCATGGCATTAAAGGCTTTTTCCTTACTTAAAGTCAATTTTTGTTTTGTTTCTCTGCCAGTATATATAAAGAAAAAAGTCTATCTCCACTCATCTCCCTTTTTCTCTTTCCATCCAGAGGGACGGGCCTGTGCCGTTGTGTTTGACTGCAAGTTCATCGAGACTTCAGCTGCTCTTCATCATAATGTCAAGGACCTGTTTGAAGGTATTGTTCGGCAAATTAGACTTCGTAAAGACAGTAAAGAAGACAACGCTAGGAGAATGGCCAACACAAAAAGAAGAGAAAGCATAGGCAAAAAGGCAAAGCGATTCCTTGGGAGAATTGTGGCAAAGAACAACAAGAAGATGGCTTTCAAAGCAAAATCAAAGTCTTGCCATGACTTATCTGTGCTTTAGAAGCTTTCAGCAAGCCAGATGTTGCACATGGGTGGTGAACAAGCATTTGACTGTTATGAGAAGTGTATAGACGATCCTCATGGTGATAACAAGAGTGACTTATCAATTGAGACTCTCGTTCATGCCTTAAGGTGCGCAAGCAAGTCTGGAAGTTACACTACAATGTCTGCTTCATTGATAAATGGTTTAAGTTTCAATGTGTGCAAGTAAATGAACTAACTTTAAACAAGTGGCTTGACATGCCCACATTTTCACTGTGTACATATGTTATATATCCTCTTGTCCTGTGGATACCAGAGATGCAAAGATAAGAAAGGATGATGATAAGTATCACCATAGACTCGTCTAGTTTGCAGAGCAAAACTTAAACTTGTACGCAGGCTCGTACACTCTTTTTAGTATAAAGCAAGCAATGATAAATCTTTTTAAACTTAAATGTGGGGAGGGGGGACTAGAACCACATTAGAATGGGAGAAAACAAATTATATATTATATATATATAGTTAAATACAGAACAGATACCATTTTATGAAGTTAATTTGCACTTCCATTAACTGTTATTCTATTAATTTGTTACTTGTTTACATGCAGATTTTATAATAAAGGATTATTTCCTGTTATGATAAACTGTGCTTTTCTCATAATATGGACAAAGAATGAGAGCAGTATTTTTATACTGACCTTTTTTCACTGTACAAAATGTTATATGCAGACTATGCAGATTTACACATGATAAAGTTCTGGAACAAGATGAATCAAGAATATCCTGTGTCCTTTTCTTTAACAGACAGTTTCTTTAAGAAGTAAACCCTGCTTTTACAGACACTCTACATCACCAGCTTATATTGGGAAGGGATGTCTTGACCCTTTATATTATTGTTCATCTTCAGGCTGTTTCTTGTCAACTCTGACAGGAACAGTCCTCTATATCGTGCCTTTAGTTAGATGTCTTGTGTCTATACTGATAAACCCAAGCTTGCAATGTTCTACTTTTTAGTCCTTTCCTGGCTTGAAGGTCTTGTGTTACAGCCAATAAGCAAATGTGGGGGTTTGGGTTTTATTCTGATTTGTTACATTTCTGGGAGTGGTGTAATTTTCTAATCTGCTCACAAGCCTGTAGATACCTTCCAGTGGCTTCAAGAAGTTCAAACAGGCTAGCAAGGCTGTTTAAAAGAATTGTAGGCTTCAGTTGTGGCGTATGGTGGCCTTCAGTGCTGTTACGACTTAGATTGAGCTTCCCTGAGCTTGAACAAATGATCCATTGGGTTAGCCCAGTACTTGGGCACTCATCAGGGAACAGTTATACTGGGGGAAATTGCATCTGATTTGTATAGGTAATATTCTGTAGAATTAGTGTCTCCTGATGTGGTGCTGGTGGACCTAACTGGCTAGATGCACAGTTTAGCATACGCTGCTGGTAACAGGTCACATTTCTTATGAAGAGAAGTGTTTGCTTTGTGTCCTGAATTAAGCCTGGAGTGAATAATTCTGTCCTGCTGCCAAAATGCACGTTTACCTGATGATACATTTTAATTGGATTTGGCTTTTTTTCCACTAGCCTTGCATCCTGGCAAACTGTTATCACTGGAACATCTAACTACTGTTGGAGTATGGCACCAGGCATCTATTTACATGGAATCTTTTAACTGTTAACACCAAAGCAATTGCTCTAGTCCTGAGAACTCTACATCAAAAGTGTCCAAATTAATGTGCGTAAATTTGGCACATACCTAGTCATGCACATACTAAAGTTACTGACAAAACTACATGGTGTTCCCTGTACATTTGCAAAGCTTCTGTCTTTTGGTTGCCCTGTGCTTTCAGAATGACCAGGAGAGGACTGACATGTTTGATTGGCTTGCGAGATTTAATTCTGTCCATAATAAATACAAGGAATGGGATGCAAAGCCGGAGTTTAAGATACGTCATTTCCCAAAGTGCATAATGCTACAAAGATGTGTCACTCTTAATGCTGCAACAGAACTGCAGCTGCAAAGCCTATTCAAGGTCATGGTTAACAGCTGTGCTTTTTGCACACTCTGACCTACAAATCAGATGTTTTACTGTGTTCATGAATTCAAAGGCTAGGTTTGGAAAACTCTTAAGCCTAAAATATTTCTGAGGTGCTCTAGCGCATCGCTAGGGGTTCATTTAAACTGTGGAAAATAATTCGTATTTTGAAAGTATGTCATACAGGAAACTGTGAGACAGAAAACTGTGAATCACTCCAAAGAAACTTGGGCCATTCTATCAGTTAATATTGTACAATAAAATACTTATTCAAATCCTCATTACACTATTTTTTTTCATTTATTTTTTTTTGTAGAGAGAGTAGCCTAATTCAGCCATTGTTCATGAAAAGAGGGAGGGTTTGTTATTGCAGCTCTGACAATTACCTGCTCTAGACCAAGATCATATGGTATACTACAGAGGTATTATCATGAATGCTATTTTGTAGAGATTTTGTAGCTCCTGGAAGATTTTCTATGCAGAAAAAAATAATTTCTTGAATGTCATTTAGTGGAATTGCTAAGCAGACTTTTTGGAAGTACATGTGCAACACCAGCTGGAAGTCAGTAACGGGTACCTAACTGACAAATGCCTCTACAAATTAACCTTCTCCAAAAGGTTATTTGTATCCTCAAGCATTTGAAAGTCATCTATAGGTTTTTGTAATGTGAGGTGTTTTATTGGTATGAATACTCAGATTCTGGTCATTAATGGGGTGAATCTATGTCATGTGAAAAATAGCGAGTCCCAGACAGCACTGTTTTCTCTAATTATTACCAGAGTAGAATAGAGTGTAAGGAGTAACAGTGGTGTGAGTTTTCTTATTTTTTGCCAATGTACATCAGTTTTAATTTGGAGGGACAGTTCACAGAGTCATTTAATCTGTACTGCCTTCACTGCTGCTGCCAGCTGAAGTTCCTATTGCTGCTAATTGTGGTGGTGGATTTTGTGTTGGCACAAATCCCTTTGGAACAGCTAGTTATTAACAACTACAGTGGAAGGACATTGCCTTTTATGTGTGACACATATGTTAGGTAAACAAATCAAAGCCTCCTCCGCTTGCTATTGCTAAACTAGCTCCTGTAAATTCTTCACCATATGAAAAATGTGAAGAAAATCATTCCCCCATCTGCCAAAACTGCAAAGCATAAAGTCACGTCACATAAATAAAGATGAAATGTTAACTGCTGGGGGAAGACTTAGCATCACCAAAGATGTAGTTTTACTCAGATGTATTTTCTCAAAATAGGACTAGAAAAAACAGGGTATGATCTACATAGTAACATTGCATAACATCACTGTTCTTTACTGAAAAGGAATGTATAGTGAGTTGACAGTGATTAAGAATCTAGTGTATGATAAAAGATTGCTAAGATGTAGTCTAAAAAAAGTAGGGTAATACTTACTTACATTATTCTGAAATTTGCTTTACTACTCTTAATTTTATTCAGAGACAATGACCAGGTTTAATTGCATGTACATCACGGAGACCTCACTGAGTCTGCAGTTGCAGTCAAAGGTGATGTCTGTGCATTCCAGGACCACCATTTAATTTATAGTTTACCACACGATCTCTAGCATTATAATGGACTCCCTCTTTGCATGAAGGAACATCTGAACTCCAACTACCATACTATTGAAGCTATTAATTTCTAAAAATTGAAATAATAAATTATGTCAACTGTCCTTGTGCTCTATGACATGGATGTTGAACAGAGAATTAGAAGATAAAAAGAGAGAACAAATGCCCATTGCTTATCTGCAGATAAGGTTTCTCTAACCCACTCTTCAGAATCCAAGGAAGAATAACACTAGAAGGTAGGAAACAGGCTAAGAAATTTACTTCAACACTGAGTTCACCACTGACAAACTAGTATTAATTACGTACTACAAAAATGTTTTGGCCACTGGGTAAAATGGGCAGTGTATGTTCTAAAGACTCTCCTCTCTCTTGTTCGCTTTTTTTTTTTCCTATTTATAAATGTGCTGAATGAATCACTGGAAACCAATTAGGAGCCTACAGATTTTTTTCTAATGCTTCCCATATTTATCACAGGAGCTGAAGAAAATATTAATCTAAACTAAAATTTAGCAGATTCAGAGACTGCAATAAGTAGAATAGATTTGAAAATATTAATTTTCTCACCCTCCTAAAAAAGCATCTCTAAGGTCTGAATCAGGGGCTGGAGAAAGGGTAGGATTTGAAGAGCAAGCGCTCCTGTTCAGAATAGTCTAGTCAGACCCATAAAAATCTCCTCAGCTTGTTTCTGGCAGTAAATCCCACTTTCATCAGCCTCATTACACTAGCATAAATAATTACACTACTGTTAGGCTTGCAGTCCCACTGAAGGTTGTGACCCTTACTTTGGGAAAGACAATCTTCAGTTCAGTAGATGCCTTGGCAGAAGAACAATAATTTTTGTCACATCTAAATTGGATTATTGTAATGCATTATGCTTAACAAAGCTTTCAGGAGCTTCAGGTAGTAGGAAATATAGTCACATTGATTAAACCGGCTAGGTCAAAATGAGTACATAACTTCTCTGGTCAGGCCTGTGTTCCCATATGTTTTAGGTGAAGTGATGAGCTAGAAAAGCTGTAAATACCATTGGACATGACTAATGTTGAAAATGCTACACTTTGTTGCATGTTTCTTGGCTGGCTACAAAGCTTGTTGAAGTCAGCAGCATTGCTTGATTTTGGACTGCTCAACGAGAACAATATTTGCATTTCTAATTGCAGGTATTCAGGTGTCTTATTACAGGTATTCAGGCCAAAACAGCTTAGTGCCATTGACACTGCAATGGTAACTGCAAGAGATCACACCCTATTTATTAGTCTTGCAGATCAAGGATGCAAAAAGCATAAAGCAACAGAAATACATCTTAACTGAACTAGAACATATGGTGAATTTTAAAACTGTGCCAACTTGCATCAGCTCCACTTCATTACAGGCCTGCCTTTGGAATTTATTGAGGAGTGCTCACCAA